AGAACTGTCTGCCCTTTTCCCAGAAAAGTTGTATCCCCGCTTGTTGAATGTGTCCTTCGCGATGTACTTAGGACACGGGTCTTTCAAGACACCCCCTTTGCCATCATCATCAGACCCGTCAGACAAAGCAGTAACGCTCTCAATAGACGCAGCCAAATGTTTCCGCAGACCTTCCTCCTTATCTATTCCACAAGCCTTCAGAACCCTGACAGCTCTCTGGGAAAGGCGAGGCATCTGAACCCGTTTAAACAACCCTACACTTGACGACTTCTTCGGTGAAGCGGCCAATGACCTCCCTGAAAGACGTTTCTCGCGCACGACTTTTAAAGGCTTCATGGGCAGGGACATTAACGACCTCACACCTGTAAAACATAGAAAACAACCCACAACCCACAAGTTTTTTTTTAACTAGTGGTAACAGGTACATTAGCCCATGACACCAATTCGGACGAACATAGAGCTGGCCAGTGACAGATATGCGAGTGGTCCTATTCACAAATATTACCGTGCTCGGGAGCCCTTTGAGGGAACTCGCCCTCCTGTCGCGCCACTGCGCCAACGTCCACGAACGATTCGAGTTTCTGGACCTCGGCCACGGCTGTGTCGCTAACCAACTCGGTGGCAACTGAGTCGCTTGGCAAGTCGATGGGTTCATGAAGCACCATTTCCCGACCAGTACTGAGGACAGATGCTCGATCACCCTGTTCGGCACCGCAACGGGTGGACGGAGAATCATGATCTTTCCGCTCTGGATCCATGTTGATGCTGACGGCCACCTCACCGCCTTCCACGGAGGATTCGATGTTCTGCATCTCGGCCACGCCTGAGTCACTAGCCAGCTCGGTGGCTGCCGAGTCGTTACCCAACTCTATGGCTTCATGAAGCACCATTCCCCGAGCGGTGTTGAGGACAGACGCTCGACCACCCTGTTCTTCACCGCAACGGGTGGGCGAAGAATCACCATCTTTCCGCTGTGGATCCGTCCGGATGTCGACAGTCACCTCACCGCCTTTCTCATCGCTATGAACCCGAGCTTCCACCGCGGATTCTTCGTCGCCAAGAACGGGAGCTTGAACGGACGTCCACTTACCTCCCTTAACGACACCCTCTCGCGTCGTGGCCACAGCCGAGCGACTGTGCAGAACCTCTTCGGACGTCCCGATCACCAACGCTCATGCGTGGAGCCACTTCACGTCTTCACGAGCCGGCCCGTGTCGACTTTCTTCTCCCCGCTGTACAGCATGTGTTTCTACCGGAGCTCCTGCACTCTCGCTGTCAGTGTCCACGGACGCACCCTCCGAAGCATGACGTTCACACTCGCTACCCCCGGTCTCCAACACTTTGCGAGACTGCCAGCGTTGGGTCTCCTCTTCCCGATGTACAGCACGCGTTCCCGGAGAGCACTCGTCTTCCCCAGGAGTGTGACGTTCGTTCTCGCTACCCCCGGTCTCCAACACTCCTGGAGCGGGCCCCTCCAGCACGTCGCGAAAGCGCCAGTCTCGAGTCTCAACACATGAGAAAGGAGGTGAGTAGGGTAACCCTGTGTCCAACTGAAGATGCGGGGGCCAGGACGTCACATTTTCTTGGCCCCGCGAAACTGTTGCGTGAGGAGCACTTATGGCGTAGGGCGACGGCAGCAAATCCGAATGTATTCGGAGTTTGTGGCGGTCGCCCGAGCCGAGGGAACCGGAGGTCGCACCTTCGCTCCTTCGCAATGAAGGCATCCCGCCCTCCAGGGAAAACGAAGACGCGCCCTCTTTCAGGAGCAAGGTGTTGAGCACAGGAGATCTCTGCTGCGCACGGCGGGATGGACTCTCCTGGGCAACGGGAAACAAACTCCTCGCAGACAAGTGCGAATCTACTCGCACTTGATCAGACGTCAGGGTGTCCTCGTCTCGCATGTCGGAATCTCGACTCCCTACGCAGTGGGGGTCAGTTTTCATATACTCGGGATTCCCGGACGTTCTACGCTTTCCGCCCGACCCCTTTCCGCCCGACCCCTTTCCGTCCCACCCCTTTCCGCCCGACCCCTTTCCGCCCGACCCCTTTCCGCCCGACCCCTTTCCGCCCGACCCCTTCCCGCCCGACCCCTTTCCGCCCGACGCCTTCTCAACCGACGATGTCTCGCCCGTCCCCTTTCCGGCAAACTGTGAGCCGTCTTCTACGCCACCTCCTCCGTCTCCTTCGTCTCCTCCACCACCCCCTCCCGGATGCTAACCGGCCGGCGGAGGTTGCGGCATGCGCCAGTCAATGCCACGAGACGGTGCCGTTTCGAGTGCGTAGAAAAGCGCTCGAAACTCCAACATGTTGATGGCGTACAACTCATGTAGCTTTTGTTTTGCATACGCATCGACGTCCTGATCGTTCCTCTCGGGGTTCATGAGACTCAAATGCTCCACCAGAGCAATTCTTGCCTTTCTCTTAAATGCACCCGCTCCCAGTCTCTTTAGTCCACTCCACTTGCCATCGGCCTCCTTTATTGCCATGACCCATATTCCATTCCTCACAGCAGGTTGGAATATCCTCGGGTGTCAGACGACGTTGTGTCCCCAGACATCCTCCGCCGTGAACAGGTGATGCTTGCCGAAGAAATAGAGTCTGTCATTCTGCCAGGTGTCATGGTCCACAGGGAGCCTGTCACAAGGTTCGTGATCATAGTCTCTCTCTTCCTCCCTGTCATCAGACGATTGGTCGTCGACTCGTTCGCCCCGAAACACATGCTTCAAACCGGCAGGGGACGTGCTATATCTCCGAGGGCCACCTTCCTCTTCATCACCAACCTGTCCAACCACCCGAGGAAGTGGCATGGACTCGAAATCGAAGGTTTCGGAGTCGCTCAGCTTCTCCATGTCTTCGGCGTCGAAAGGGTCGTCCTCGTCAAACTGTGACTTGTAGTTTTCGAGAGTGAGCGGTTCGGCCAGCGTGAAGTAAACGTGCTCCAACCTTCTCAGGAAGTGCGAGACAAAATCCCTGGGTGCACCGTGGTACCCATTGAGCACAGCGAACACCAGGTTTCTCTGTCGACTGTATTCGAGGTCGGTCTGACCAGGCGGTCCGGGTCCGAAAAGGAAGTCCCAAACGTCCGTCCTTTTGTTCCCCGACAATTTTCAATACATGTCACGTTTGGGATCCCAGTTTCGTTCGCCGGTGGTCGGGACAAACTCGCAAGCATTGCGAGTGTCTGCAACGCGTGCCTTCACGAACTCGTGAAGGTCGTGAAGGTAATCGATCATCTTCGCCTCCTTCTCCAACACGACGACATTCCGACCGGTGCGCAGGAGTTCCCACACGACAGACGCATGCGCCTTCCCAAAGAAAAAAACAGTTTGACCAGCTTTGCAAAAGTTTTCGAGTAGACCAACTAGACGGGACGGGTTCCGCTCCATCTCCCTGTAAGCAGGTCCTTGAGAACTTGTCACGTCGCCGTCCTCCCACATGCTACGAATGAACCTTTCCTCTTCCGCCACGTCGAAACACGCCACAGCCTGTCCTGATGGGTCCGACGAACAGACAGCTTTCGAGCGGTCGGCCACCGTGTGTTTAGCCGGACTTGGACCATGAGCACGGGAAGCCTTTGTCGGGCTACTGGCCGGGTAGACTGCGAATGTGTTGTCTTCCAGCTTCTCGCCATTAAAAATCACGTACAGGCGGTCACACTCCTCAACCAGCATATTGCCTTCCCGGACAGTGGCCTGCTTTTGTGCATTACATACCCACTTCCCTGTCCTGACGTGATGGACGCTAAGCCTGGTCATGCCTTTCAAAAAACTGAGCTCCCAACGAGAGGGAAAAAAGATCACAAGTGTCCAGTGCGTTGGCGAAAGTGTTTGTAGAAGGCCTTGCAAGTTGGCAAAATCGTCTTCTCGCCAGTCTGTGAGGAGTGTGGGATCACACAAATCGAGGACGTACAGGTTCCACACGTAATGTCGCACAACCTCACGGATCGCAGTGTCTCGAACTTCTTCTTCCGTCCGTCGCAAGATGGAACGGACAGACTTTTCGAAAGATTTAGGGAACCTGTCGTCCTCGTACAATTTCTTCGCGTCGTCGAGGGACTCCTTCTCGTGCGGAAGAGTACGTTTGCAAGTGTTCACGCACTCCACCGCGCCCTGGAAATGTTTTCACATTTCGACCCACACCTGTTTCGTGAGGCCCTGCGGCCCGAACTCCTCCAGAAGCCGCCCCTCGGTGCGGAAAAAAAAGCTCTCGTAGCGCCAAACACGTTCATCCGCCTCCATTTCAAGGAACAAGATGTAGTGGAACATACGGAGCATCATACGGTCCACTTTCGTCGCCGCGACCATGTCTTTAATTCCTGGTTTATGCTGACGCTTCAGATGGCCGCCCGCGGATTGCACGAACACTCCCCTTAGCGCGAGAATGTCGTCAAGGGTCGACAGTTTCTCGACATCGGTCATATCTGCGAGACACTGCCCACAGAACATGTCTGGCTCCTTCACGACCACGAAAAATTTGTCGTCCGCTTGCGTTTTCTTTTTGGTCGGAGGCGGTGGGACCCGGACCAGCCACCCCATCTTCGTTTCACCAGCCACCCCTTTCGAGCCCATTTCCGGAATTGCTTGCAGACCCAGGGATTTGTCTGGCATGTATTTGCCCGGCCTCGACAATGGCGTCTTGCCGTCGCCGCCCAACAACTTCCCCTCCGCCCATTTCGCGTAGAATTTCATGGCTTTGCGGAAAACGTCGTCACTGGCCGTCACGAGCGGCATCCACTGCCTCAATGCATTGCCAACTGCAGCGACATAGTCCTTGTCGGCGAGCGACGAATCTTTTTGTGCCAACGTCTAGTGAGCTCCGTTCGGACTCTTTCCCAAAATCAGTTTTTGGAAATCGAAGAACTTTCGTTTTTCGGCCTCCTTGCCGGAAGGGTTCCCTTGAATGGCCATCGGCCTTCCTTCGTTCTCCCATGCCTCCCGCATGTCCAAGAACGCGGCCTTCTACGACCGCTGCTTAGACATCTTGTGTCTCGTGTTTTCGTTGAGACTGACCTGCCTATACCCCGCGAAATCTCGGTCGGAGAACCACACAACTCTCGCTGGCCACGAGTGCATCTTCCACAAATCGAATATTTGCTCACCCTCCAACTCCTTCACAGCAGCCACTGTGTGTTGTCCGTTAACAGGGTAATAGTAGTACTTGTCCTTGTCCTCTGGCTTGAAGACATCTTTGTGAACCCTGTCTGCTTGCTCCAGCCTACGCGACACCGGCTTGTAGATGGGTGCCAAAACGAGAGGGTTTTTCGTCCAGATCTTCTTCTCGCGGAAGTGACTCAGCATCGCATCCTTGATGTCGTCCACAGTTTCGCGGCTTAGACTGTGGTGGTTATAATATCTTTCCCAAGGCGGGATGTCGCAGACCTTCCTGGGGTCGATGAGCAGTTGGACGGGGAGCTCCTTCTCCACGATTTCACCAACATCGTTCCGCTCGTATTCGAGCCTGAACGCTGCCGCTTCGTCGCACTCCTGACCGACAGGCCCTTCGCCACCGCTCGCCGCCTCAGCAGTCTTCCGCCTTCGAGGTTTCTTCTGGCCATCGCCTTCTTCAGCTGCCACTTTCCGTTTCGATTTCCCCGAAGGTTCTCTCGCGGCCGCAGCGCCTGGATCAGCCGAATCTCCTCCACCCGCGGCTTGTCCTTCGCGGATGGTCAAACCGCCTGGCCTCCTCGCTTTCTTACTTGCCGTCCCACCCTCTTCGTTCGCTGGCTTCTTTCCCGAGGCACGTTCTCCGTCGCCACCTCCATCCCCGCCCATCAACGCCTCCGGTTTTCCTCTCATCCTCTTCATGCGGAGGGTTCCTTCCGCCACCTCCTCTCGCACCATCCTCTGTCGCTCGCTCTTCTTCTTCGAAGGAGTCTGCTCCCCGCCAGAGCTTTCGCGGACAGCGCCCATCCCTTCAACCTCATTCCCTCTAACATCTAGCCCCGATCTGCTTGAATCTCTTCTCGTCTCATCTCGAAGCGAATATGTGTCGGCGCCTCAGCGGACCTTGATAAGTTTCGGAGTACCGACCCGTTGAGTCCCTGTACCCTGAGAATGCAAGTCCGACGTGTTCCTAGGAGCATCCGGGCCGACCTGCGTGTGAACGCTGCATCCCTTGACCCGACCCCCAGCGTCTTTAATCGGACTCCCGCGCCCCACTGTCGTACCTGGAGTTTCTTGAGCCAAGCCGGGCGACCCCTCACGGGGTGGCAGAAGCCGGAAAACATGCTCTGGCGGAAGAACCAGACGTTCTTTCGGCACCATCACCGCGAGATCGAGATATTGCTCTGGCGGTGGAAGACGCTTGCTGCCGCCTTCGTAAAGGCCTTTGAAGTGAGAGCACAACGGCATTTTCGAGTCGTACCCCGCGAAAATCTTGATGGTCACCAGCACACCTTTAACACCTCTGATAGGCAGTCTGCACTCGTCGTACACGCCGTTAGTATGCAGCTTGAGCAAACCTCCAGGAATCTTCGCGCACGAGACGACGGTACCGAGAGGAAGAACGTTGACCGCTCTCCCAGCGTCTGTAACGCAAGTGGATCGCATGAAATTATCTGGCCCAAAAAGGTCCCCCTGAACAACGAAGTCCAAAAACCATGGTGCTCCCTTTGTGTGCATATACTGAGGAGTAGGTTGTTGTACAGGTCGTCCCTCCCCGGGGGCAGATGGTCCAGCGTTTGTGGATGTATTCTTTGCGGACGCCATTGTAGTCTCACCCGTTGACTAGCACGCCCAACCTCACACCAACTCGGATGACTAATACGCCGAACCCCAGACCACGACAAAAGCGAAGTGCGAACTAACTCGGACTTAACGAAATGGTGGACGAAAAGGACGTAAGAGATGGGTGTTCGAAATGCACACGAAGTCACAACAATCGGGTGAAAGATAGGAAAGACAGAAGTTCGGAGGGAAGACGATAACTGTTCGGAAAGATTGCGACCCAACTAGATGCCCTCGAAACGAGTAAGATGTGGTTTATCGACAAGTGCGAAGGGTGTCGACAAGTGCGAACTAACTCACAGTTCTGTTGACAAGACAACAATGGCAACCCGCTGCACTAGGGGAAAGTGCGAACTAACTCGGAATTGTGGAACTGAAGACCTGAAAGACGCACGAAACGAGTA